AAAAAAAAAAAAGAAAAAAAAAAGATAAAGAAAATGTCAAAATTTGTATGAATTATATTTTATGCATTATATATATAATTAATATGTTACAATGCCAGAATAATTATTAAAGTGAATTATTAAAAATACACACTTAGCAAACATTTATAAATGATAGTAATATTTAAAAATACCTAACAAATTACCGTGGATTGGAAGTTAAATAGATATATACGTTCTCGATGACCTACTCACGGTGGTTAAACCGTAGTTATACCATGATATTCTAAGGGTTTCTTATCCTCGTAACATTATCGCCTAAGACTTTTGCCTCTTTTTTTATATAAAAAAAAAAAAGTTTATATATGAGGCCACGAAGGAGTTACATCAATATAGTACATTTATCCACATAAGCTCGACACTAAACAGTAAAGCTAACATCCGAAAATGAAATAATAATGGAGACTTGAAAATTACATGTACGTTCCATTTCATATAAAGATATTATTTCAATAGTAAACCCAACTTCGTGTGCTTACTGCTTAGCCATATAAAGAAGAATATGAAGGAAATAAAAAGAAAAAAGGGCTGAGGGCTAGTCTACATCATTATTATATTGTGTTTGTATATGTTTTTTTTTTTTTAATCAATGTATATATATATATATATATATAAAAACGAAATTCGTATGATATCTTTATATATCAATTTAAGTTATACATATGTGTTTGTTAACACTTGATATATTGAATTAATTATTTTACTATCAGATTTTTAGATATGATACGATGTTAAGCCGCATCCGCACAAGCACTACTCTTTCCGTGAGTTCCATCACGGCACTCACCACCAGAATTACACAACCGCGGCCACCACTGAAATCGAAACCAGACAACGAAGAATCAATCATGAAGAAGTGACTGAATGAATCAATTTTGTTTTAATAGACTCTTATTGGAACTGAAACCACTGGTCACAATTGAAATGCTAAGAGACTCCTGCTGAATCGAGTCACAAATGATTTTGCCTCAATTGTGCTAAATTGAGTCACAATTCATTCACAATTAAATAAACCTGACTGAGTCAAAATTCATTCACAACAAAATAAACCGCAATTGATCTGGCCTCAATTATGTCTCACAATTAAAAGGCAAATATGAAATTTTGCTCTTGAGACAGATACACAGACCTGGGCCGAATTTGAACAAATCTGGGCATAATTTGAACAACATCATGGAGCCCACTGTTGATTTTATAACAAAACCGATCTATCACAAATAATGATGTCACTAAATTAATAACGTGAGAAGTTAGTTCAACCTTTATAATGTCAATATCGTTTGTGTTGAGAAGTTCAAAAGATTTTCTACGTTTTTTTTTTTTTTTTT